AGTGTAATCGTGCTTCTTACCTGGTGGCTAACTTCCAAGAGCACAGGTTCCAAGAGCTGGGGCCTGGGAGCTGTCAGTCTTTTTAAGGCCTGGGCTGGGATGTTGGCCCCGCTCCGCTCTTACCAGGTTCTGTTGGTCAGAGAAGTAGCACGGTGTGCCCAGACGCGAGGGAAGAGGACAGAGACCCCATCTCTCAATGGGAGCAGTGTCAGAGAATCACGGCCATCTTTAATTCATCACGGGTCTCTAACCACAGGCTCACGGAATTTACAGTAGAGACAAAACTAGTGAAAGAAGCATGGATTTGTTTTTTTGTTGGACAGATGTAAGCTCTGCACCTGGCTGTACCGTTTACTGACAGTATGATGTCTCTGAGACTCAGTCTCCTCACCTCTGTAATGTAGCAGTGACACATATGCCATTGAGTCGTTGAGAGAATTAAGTGGAAAAATATATGTAAAGTGCCATATACAGTTGGCAGTAAATGCACGGGTTGAATAATTGTTGCGGGCATTTATCACATACTTAGCAAGTGCTCAGTTCATTCCTAGGCTTTTGATAGCTTCTCACTGAGTCATTAACCTTCCTGGGCGGAATGTCCCATGTCACACGTGGATGGGTCAGGAAGGGCGGCGCCCGTCCCCTCTGGCTTTAGCGGAGTGGGTCTGTGGGCCAGCTCCACTCACCCTGGCCGCTCCTGGTTTGATCATTTCTCATGGCCTCACTGTTAAGGTTTCCACTTACACTTGCTATTTATTTCCCCTTTTCTTTGACCCCTGAGGACCCAGGTGTTGAGACACACTGGGCACTTTTTGACACTACCTTTCAGCATTTCTTCTCAGTGCTGTCACGTCGCTTTTGACAGCTTCTCACGCAGTCTGTCAGCTCCTCTGAGCCCACGGCCGCCTGCTCATCACAGCCGAAGTGCACAGCCTTCGTTGCAGCGAGGGCTCTGCCGCCGCCTCCTTCACGCAGCGTGGGGGTGCTCCGTCGTCGGCCTACCCCACATCGTGGTGATCTGCACTTTGGAGCAATTATTTAATTTGGGGCAATTACTCGTGGGTGTTCTGCAAGCGAAGACTTTTCCAGGCTGTGACTAAATTTTGAAACAGCAGCTTCCCAGTCAGTTAAGGAATCACTTCTTCATGCCCACGAGGCTGATCTCAGTCTGTTGTCACCGGAGGAAGGTGGCGACCCTTTTTTTCCACAGCAAGCCGAGGTGATCGCCTCACATCCTGTAAGCGGTCAACTACTTTCATGAGTGTCTTCAATATGGAGACAAGTAATAAAATTTGGTTTTGGTAGAAGTCACCTATTTGTTATCTTTCTAATCTCTGCTCTCAATATTACTTGTCTTTAAATGGAAGGAATTACTTTAATCCTTTAGGAATTAGAGGACATATTCATACCCGACAGAGGGATCTGGTCACTCAGTCACATATGCATTGAGCCATCTTCTCTAACTTTGTGGCATAGAACTGCACTGCTCGGGTTAAAATCTATACTAGCTGTGTGACCTTGGGAAGTTTACTTTGACTTCTCTAAGTCTTAATTTCCTGTGTGTAAAATGGAATTTAGGGTTGTCATGGGATTAAAAAAGGACACGTTTTCAGTATAACAGAATCAGATCTTGGCACATAGAAAATATTCGGTGGATGTTGGCTCTTATTATTATCTTGCACATGGAGTTAGATCTTGTGGTATAAAAAAAAAGTAGCCGTAACAACACGTTTACTTGTTATTTTTGCTCCTAATAATAATCCAAATCATTTTACCTTTTGAGTCCTATCACGAAGCTTTATTTATTCCCTAGTAGCAAAAACATTGCTGCAGATTATTTCTGAAAAGAGGAGGCATCTCGAAAATGTATAACATCTTTTTCTTTTAAAAACATGTTTCAAAAAATAAATTTCAGCTGAATCAGACAAAGATGGGATCATGTAAGAGCAGGTGGACAATAACGCAATAATGAGGGGTTTAGTTCATGGCGCTTAGAAGGGTGAAGGGTGGTTTGCTTCTGGTTCACTGGGGGCTGAGGACCACAGCCGGTGTTGACATTGTCATCTTAAATCCAGCCCATTTGTAGTGACCACCTTTAGACTGGCCGGATGCTGGGCCCTGGATCTTCCTGTAGTTTATGCTACCTCCGTTACATATCTAAATGAGAATGTCTTATTTAACAGGAAAAAAAATGGATATTTTAAAATATTCAAATAAGGTTCCTCTTTGGAAAGCAAGACGCATTTTGTAGTGAAATAAAGATCTTGGTAGGATAGCAAGTTTTCCTCATTTTCAACAACTCAGAGGTCTGAGAGTATCTTTGCATAGTCTGGCCACACTATTCTACTTTAGTTTAAGGCTTGTGAAATCTTTACGTTTCTTGATTTTTATGGGTAATGTAATGTCTAGAGCTTCACGTAAGCAGATGAAGTAATACTTTACTCTTCTGAACTTGTTTAAAGAGTTACATATATACGTTTTTTTCTGGTCACTGAAAGTTATCTCTTTAGCTTCCCAAACTTTAAAAAAACCACTTTTTATTAAAAACACACACTATGCTCCCTTTTTAAGCCCATTTTTTTTTTTAACACAGTGTAATCGTTAATGCTGCTGGATCATCATGATGAACAGTTTACAGTGTTTTTTAACAGTACAGCTTCTCTTTCTGTCAGATCTAATGTTTTAATTCTCATAGGTCTCTCTCCCTTATCCCATCTAGCACACACTTGGATTTTACTTTGCTCCTTCTAACATCTATAAGCTATAAAATTATATCACCAAAGTCATCCAACGCGTATATGAAATAAAAATACGAATAATTTTTTCTCTTGGTGTTAGAGCTATTTTGGCTATTTAGAGATCTTTAATTTTTTTTTTTTTTTTTTTTAAATTTCTAAGTTCTCGTTTGTGTTTTTCATAGCCCGGTTCTCTAGTACTTTCATTTTGAGATAATTGAAGAAAAGGGTTTCTTACTATAATTCGACGATGATTCTGTAATTGGTTTAGCTGGTTCCACAGGGAAAAGAATAAGTCCCTTAAAACTTGAGACGGCTAGTATAATTAAAGTAGATGTGAGGCGGTTTGGGGAATGACCCTCGCCTGCTACTACATTCATGTATAATAGGCTTGTCAAGTTAATATTCTGAAAAGTGGGAATTATAAGACAGGTTGTTATGAGAATCAACGAGATTTTGCTGTTCCCATAAAAGCAGGGAGGAGGGGTGCTCGGGAGGGAGGTTGAACACGGCATGGTGTTTCCACATTGTTCATGGAAGGGTCTGGAAGGAGAGAAGGGTGGGGGAAAGCTTAGAGAAAGGACCAGAACATCATGAGAGTCAGGAAACTTGAGACAAGGGGACTTAGATTTTGAGCAGTGACCAGGGACATGGGAGATTTAGTCCTGGTGGCATATTGATGAGCACTCAGGCTGTGAGCGTGGCCTCCTGCCTCGCAGTTGCGTCGTGGGGTGCAGGGAGTGTGGAGAGGGGCAGCAGGTCTGTTTTCTCTTGGTCTGCAGGTTTTGGCAGCAGTGGACAGCGGCTGGTGGGTGAGGATGCCAATTTAGGTTAGGAATGCAAATACTGTTTAATCGTAACCAAGTTTTTTGATCTACAGTAGTCTTATTTCTTGTTTCTAATTGGTAAATAGTGATCAAAACCAGTCGAGGATTATCATACTTGGTGTTGCGATGAACCGTGTCGATTTGTGTTTGTCTCTTAGCCTCATCGTTCTTAGTTCCTGCTGCTTTTGGTTTCTTAAAGAATTAATCAAGAACACCCAACACCTTCAACCAAGTATTTTATGTTTATCCCTCCCATCCCTTCCATAATTCCATTATGTTTCTGGTGGCTAATGCGAAAGGTTACTTTAGTCAATTATGACAGGAATGCACTTTGAGTAAGTACCTCATCTTAATCTTCACTTCTCATTCTGGAGACAGGAAAAGATTTACTAGAAGTTCTTTCATAATATATCTAATATAGCTCCATATCTAAAAGGCAGATGGACTATATTTGTGACTAAGATGAAGAGGGCCCATCAGATAGACCCTGGACTTATGGGAGATGTCAACTCATACATAAAAGATCTTTCTTCTCTTGTCTGATGATTTCTGATTTTGTCATCTTGAGCATTTAAGATTCCCTGTCTCTTGAATTTAATACCTCAGCATCTCTTCAGAGTCATTGGGCTTAACTTAGAGTTACAATTCAGCTTCAGTATGGCTATTTAATTGGCTTGTTCCTAAAGAAATATTGCTCTGATTTTCAGGGGGAGAAAAAGGAAAAGCGGGTCTAGCAGGTGGCTCGTAATTACCCTCTCGAGTTGTACAAATATTAGAAAGCAAGCCCTGAAACTAACAACAAAATGATGAGAGCAGCCGTGGAAATCCAGGGGATGCTTTCAGCTCACCTCACACAGTCTGTCCCAGCTATCAGCGACACGGTTTCTGTCTCTGTTTCGTTTCGTTTCGTTTTGTTTTATGTTGTTTGCTGCTGGCCGTTTAACTTCGTCACCCAGATGTAGACCAGGACTTAGGAATTTCAACGAGCAGTCTCTGTTTCGTTTTGTTTTGTTTTGTTTTGTTTTATGTTGTTTGCTCCTGGCCGTTTAACTTCGTCACCCAGATGTAGACTAGGACTTAGGAATTTCAACGAGCCCTGGGTGACTTCCGCGTCACCGCCATCTTGATCTAGGAGCTGGACTTTTTCAAGCCTTAGACCATGCAAGTTATCCAGAAATAGACTGAAGGAAAATAATTTATTATAAAACAATAATTTTATGTGGACTTTAATGAAATAGTACCTGCAATTTGCAATAGGCCTCTCAGAGAAGGAAAATACCTTTTTAAAAAAATCTCATGGCTTAATTACTGTTGTATGGGGAAATGAAAACAATTAGTGATTCTATTACAGATGTGTGGAAATCTCTGGAAAATACTTCATAAAATAGTGATAGATGTGGCCATGTTGGTTTGACTCTCTCTTTTTTTTTAATTTCAGGGTTTGAACATAATCTTTCATGTAGCCTTGGCTCTTCTAAAGGTAAGTCTGTTTTCATTTTGAAGTTACCACACTCTTCCTCTCTGCCCTTGGAACTGGTCATAATTCGGTTTACAGCTTTTGACTCATTCTAGATTCTCGAACACACAAAAAAGAAAGACTTCCCTGTTCCTCTCCCCTCCTCCCATCCTTTCCTGTTGTTGTTTATTTGGAGTTTATTTCTTTGCTTTTCTTATAATCCATTTAATCTTGCTATCATAACGTTCCTTCCAGTAACTTGAAAAAAATATTTTCATTCATATGAGTTGGATAATATAAGAGAAAAAGTTAAAAACCTGTTTTCTGTCAAAACGATGCCAGGTTTTTTCCTAAAATACTTCTCACTGTAATAACATCCCCAGAGGTACCTAAACATATAATTAATTATTAGAAAGCTCCTGTAATGTACTGACTAGAAAAGAAACTACTACATTCCAATTTGCAGTTTTTTCTCTGATAGCTAGAAATTTATAAGACACCTTAGAATTCAATTATAATTACCTTGTTGGATTTTTATATCAACATATCAATGCAGCTTTAACAGCAAGACATTTGCTGCAGAGCCGGTTTTTGTCCTTCAGTCAAAGATGACAGACATTCTGTCGTTGGAGGTGATAACTGCCTTGTTTATAAAAACACGCAGACTCACCTTTTCCTCAGTAAAACATAATGGTTAAAATTGCAGACATCAGACTCAGCCTTATTTGGTTCTAAATTCAGCTCGAATGTATGACCTTGGGTGAATCACTCTAAGTGCCCAGACCCTGAGTTTCGAGATAATACTAGAACCAATTTGTAGGATAGTTGTAAGAATTAGATGAGATGATATACATAAAAGTTTCTAACATAGTGTCTAGAGAATTTCATTGCCTAATAAAGGTTAACTGTCATTATTGTGATTACTGTTGTATTCACGAGATAGCTCAGATTCGTTTCTAGATTCCCCATCATTCTTTCAAGTTTCCCAAAAGATAATGACTTGATATCTTCAGAGAGCCTGTCGATGTTTTAGGGGAACCCCCAGACGTAGCCTTCGCATACCCTGAGTGAGAGCAAAGGCGTGGCATCCCGTAGGCCTGTGCCACTCAAGAAGTGGGTTGCCCGCTCCTCATCTCTTGTCCTGTCAGACGCCTGGTTTTGTGTGAAGTCCATTAAATGTACTTTAAATTGTTCATGAAATCCTTTTGAGCTTAGATATGAACAATTCTTCTGTCAAAGTTATTTTAGAAGTTAGGAAGATAAACCGTTTTTAATAAAGTAATAGCAACATATTTGCATGTATCTTTTAAAGAATTTAGAGCTCTCTACCTCTAATTTTTTTTCTTGTCATTAAATCAAAACCACTTTCTAAGATGCTTTCTGTAAAGGGCTGGAATAAGACCTTCAGAATGCCTAAGTAGCGAAAGTATCGTGTAATTCAGACTAAAACAATAGTAAGCCATAAAGTAAGTGTAAGGAAGTCCAACAAAGTTCTGAGTTTTCCTATCAGGTCTAATTTTTGCTAAGTCTCAGATAGTACATCTTTCCCAAAATGCCTGTCCTCGGTTTTTGATGCCTTTCTTTGCTGGTGCTCTCAGCCGTGTTCAGTGTCTTTCGTGGGTAACCCAGGGCTCCCCTGTGTATATCAGTCCCGTGCTGTGTCAGCCTGATACCGTGTCTGTCTGGTCAATTATCTTTCCGATGGACAGGTTTGTTTTGTTTTTTTTTCTAGGCTTGATAATATTATTTTCATTTATTTCGAACTTGGCCTGTGCAGAGGATATTCTCTGGCCACTGGGCAGAAAGCCTTTTGTATCTTCCTGTTAATAATACATGGACACTCATCTAATATCATCTCGGAGAATTCGACTAGTTAGAGAAGATAAAAAACAGAGCTTTCTCGCTGCTGTCGGCCTATGTTTACATCCCTTTCTTGTATGACTCCTGGAGCTGACCCCACACAGACGCAATTCACACAGGCTGAACTAAAGTGCGCTTAACTGATCTGATCGCTCCCACCCTGGAAAAATGATACCCCCAAACACACAGGACAGTGACTAGCTTTTAGCTTCTAATCTGATATGCCGGATAAAAGACTGTATTTGTTCATGTAAAAATAACAAACTTAGGAGACAGTTAGTTCAAAGTGCTCGTGAACCCAGCCTAAGTTTTAATCTAGCCAGAGGCGCTTTAGGTTCCTCTGTATTAGAATTTCTCGTGATGACAGGAATCCGAAAGAAACATTCCTTGAGCACTTACTCTGTGCTAGGTGTTAGCATATTTCATCAGCATACATTAAATGTGCAGATGTCGTTTGTAGGAGAATCATAGATTGTGTAAGACAGAGAAAAGTCATCTGATTCTCTCCCCCAGTTGATAATTGAGGGAGCCCAGGCAAGCCCCAGTCTTTTGGCTTACTAATGACAAAACTGGATTTGTAATATTTTTAAACAGTGTAGATATAGGTTTATGACTGTTGCTCACAATGTTTTAAAGACACCTACTTTCTTAATGGGAGCGACTTTCTTTGGGCTTACAAATAGTCTTCCAGGTAGCTAGAAAGCTATTGAGCTAAAAGATGATTCTCTAAAGTTGGTGGCATCATCCAGTCATTTATGATGTTGACAGGGTCCACCGGGTAGGTTAGGTATAGTCCCCCAAATCTAATTCATGTATCACATGAACCATTCAGTAGTCATAGCATAGTACATTGTAATGCTTTGGAGATGATCAGTCAGAATTAATCTTAGCCACTTCGTATTGGTAGAGAAAATTTTCTATCAGAATAGGTTCTTTCCTTTTGGACAGTGGTTAGAAGTAAATGACAAAATGTTTTTCTCCCTTTTACCCCCAGCTCATTTTGTGTCCTATGTGTGCCCTGCAGTGACCTCCCATTGTTCTTGGGATAAACGTCACACTTTTTAGTGTAGCCCACATGATCCGGCCAAGCTTACCTCTCTATCCTCGTCACCCCTTTCCTCCCTGTCTCTCGATCAAGCCATAATCATGGACCATCTCCATTAGCCTGGGGCAGGAATCCCTCCCACACCAACAGGACTTTGAGCATCCTTTCCTGTGCTCTTTGGTCGTTTGTATCTTTTTTTGAGAAACATCTATTTGTATCTTTTGTCCAATTTTGAATTGGGTCATCTGTGTTTTTATCGCTACGTTTTTCTACGTCTTTGGACTTGTAATGATTTTCGCACATTCCGCTGGTTGGTAGCTTCCATGCAGGAACGCGTATTGTCCTGTTGGTGGCAGCATAACACTACTTTTTGGAAACGAGCTCAGCGTCTCACCCGTCAGATTCTGTGACATCGGTGTATTCTTTATATCGGTTTTCCCTTACCACATAGTCTGTCGTTTGAATGTTTAATTTCAAAGTTTAATTTTAATGTGAATGCTTTTAACTTGCGTGTTTTCAGTTTGATGATGTGAGTTTTCGGGTGCTCTCTAGTAAATGCTAAAATAACCAGTGGACACAAACGTGGACTTCTGACTAGTGCGAGATACTCAAGGAATGTTAAAGTTTTAAAGTTCCAGAAAGAACGCATTTTATGGATTAGAGATCGATATCGGAAAAAAATGTAACATCATAGTGTCGTGTGTGTATCATATAACATTGCATTTGTTGACGTGATTTTTCATTATCTATTGATCCTGAGACAATCCAGAATGCCAGGGAGGAGGGATAGTTGACCGAACGTGCCATGTTCCAGGTCGTCAGTCATTAATTTGAACTAAATGTACGCTAGGAAATACGAGGTCACTCGACAGAGATAAGACCAAGAGAGGCCAATGTCCTTGGTGTCCTGTTTTGGTAAGAAAGCGAAGTTCCGTTAGCTCTCTCATTCAAGCATTTCTTCCTTTTTTCTTAAGTCTCTCTCCATCTTCACCGTGCTCTGCCATCCCGTCTTTAGTGAAGGCGCGCTCTGCCTCATCGCAAGGCACCTTCCCACCCGCGTCCTTGACCGCAGCCTTTCTGTCTCCCTTCGGGGAAGGCCATGATGGTTGGTTGGTCAGTTCATTTGCACAGCACCCAGTGAGCGCCTGGTACTGACAGGCGCTGGGCCAGGCGTGGGAGCATGCGGAGATGGCAGTCTGTGTCCTCGAGTGGTCCTGAGCCTCTTGAAGGACAGTTAGCATTCCATGTGACTGCCCTGGGGCTTTAAAAGGGGGCTTTGGGAGCCCCGAGGCGGGGCGCCGAATTTATTCTGGGAGAAGCAGGAAAGGGATTCCGAAGGTGGTGGCGACACGCGGCAGAGGGTGTTTATCTGTTTGAGGCCCGGCGACCAGCGTGCGGGGAGGCACGAGGAAGGGGCCCAGGCGGGCCTTGCCCTGGCACGGAGGAGGCTGAGGGGAGGCTGGGACGGGGCTCTGAGGGCTGTAATTATATCGCTGCCACCCATTCACTGTGGGATTTTAATCACATTATCTGATTTTTCTAACACTTAATTTCCTTATTTGTAAGATAAAGAAAACAGGAAGATATGGTTTTTAAGGCTGTTAATTTCTGTCTTGCCACCTGTCAATCTATGCTGTGTGTATGTACATATATGCGTATGTATGCATGAATATGTATATACGCGCACTGAATGCTACCTGCAACCATCACAGTCCTTTTATGAATAGATAAGGATCGTCTTGTAATTAGCATATGTATTGCTTAAATGCTTGGCTGAAGTCTGTCTTTGCCTCTCTTACAAAAAAGAGTTTGCGGAGCAATATAATAAAATAAGGAGCAAAAGAATATTCAATCTGTTATAGTTAAAAATAATACCAGCAAGTTACTTTCAATACCATTTAAAAAGCCCTTTAGTGCCGTCCTTGAATATGAACAACCCGTGGGTTCTAAATTAGTGAGCCGTTACTGTGTGCATGTGTGTGAGGGGGTGTGCACAGCACACACACCTCTGTGCTGCCGTTATTCTTACCCGCTGTTTCCAGATGCCCAGGGGACAGTAAGTACATGCGCATTGTTGTGCAGACATCACCACCATCCTTCTGTAGAGCTTTTTCATCTT